TTACTCTTATTTAATTAAAAATTAATATTATATTAACCACACATCCAGTGTCACAAGTAGATGCTAAATAATATATTCTTGTTTTCAAACACTTGAATTAAAAAAATCATAAAAAGGCTGCCCTTATATTGTATTTTATAATATACTCGGTATGCCTATTTTTCCAGATTTGGTACAGCATCAACTAGATTAGGAATTAAGATCCCATCATTTCTAAATAATAATAAAACTGATACGTATAAAAAATTTCATCGTTTTGTGTTTAAAAATTAATATTAGAAATAAATTAATTAAAAATATAAACTTTTTAGGACAATAATTTTTCTTCTTCTCATGATACATAATATTTTTCCTGTTTTTTTTAATAAACTTTTATGTTTTCATGAATTATGTGTTATATAAATTTTTTGTAATTTATCCATAATCTAGTCTTCCAAAAAATAAAAATAAAACTTTTACATGGATTTTATGTTATTACATATGATAAAAAAAAAATATATTTTATATTCATATTTTGTTGTTAAACCGATATTTTTGTTTTGTAAATAAAAAAAAAATGTATAAATTATTTTTTTAAAATAAGGCTTCAATCTTGCGGAAATAATTTTATTTACTTTATCTTCTTATTTTATATTATTATATTAAAATAATGTTTGATATATGTGTCATATGGGGGATTCGGAATCTCTTGAATTCAAATACTTTCCTGAGGGCTATTTAAAAAAAATTAAAGATCCGATTTAACCTGAAATGTATTTTAGTATTTGTAGAGTATTTACACCTATAAATTTCAGCCAATTTTAGCCATAGACATTTTGGTATTTTTTTTAATTTATATGAAAAATCCATATAAAAATTAATATAAATTAGAAGTATTTCAGAAGTTCATGGCAAAATTGTGTGAAATTTACAGTTTGGTTTGGGTACTAAATACATGCTGAAATACAATTTTTTAATCATATTTTTTAAAATCCAAAAATCGCCCTTGGTAAATGATTAAAAATTGAGAGATTCCGAATCCCCATACGACACATATAATTTATATTGAAAATTATGGTCAAAGGATTGAAATGAATTACTTTAAATTTGATCAAAATTTAAAGTATTTAGTTAAATAATTGAATGAATTACCTTTAGGATGATAAATCCAATTAATTGATCAAAAACATTATTTAATTTTATACAAATATTAGAATAAGGTTTTCTGCTCTAAATCATAAACCACGTTCTAATAAAACAATTTATTACAATACAAAGTGAAACCCATGGACTTTTTGCAAGAAGCATAAAATATTTTGACTCAAAATATCTTTAATTATCCATGGGATGGAACTGAGTAATAAAAAAATTTTTTTAGGAGTAGTCAAAGAACCAAATTAGTTTTTTTACTCCATGTAAAGGAAAAAAGTTGAAAATCTTTTAAAATAACTTAATTTTGTGTGAGATTATGATTGTTGGAACTCGAGTTTAGAAAGAATATCATTTAGGGTTGTATTAGGGCGATTCCGGCTGAATGGTGGGAGGATCATTTAATCCTATTTGTAAGCTTTTAATTGGATATTTAGAGGTTTTAATTGTGTTAAATGTTATTTTGAATATTGTGAGTTAACCCACTGGGGATAGACCCAATACCAGAATTGTTAATTACTGAGTCTAGTCAGCTTAGTTACGATTAGGTAAAAATGACATCGACCCGAGTCAACCAAATAAACCGTAAAGTAGACTATTGCCTTCCCGATAGACCGAACCCATGTGGCACAATAGGGTGACACATAAAAATATGAATAATCGGTTTTGAGCCTGGAGTTATATAAATTATGACTATTATAAGAAGTCGGTCCTGTCAATTATTTAACACTCTATAGGGATTTTAAATATAATTCCACCTCTTCACAATTCAAATTCCTTCTTCTCGAATTTTTTCCTTGACCATTTCAAGCCACGGTGCAAGATTTCTAGTTGCTAAATCTTTCGCTGATTGTCTATCCTCCCTAAATTTTAACGATGAGAATGAATGGCTAATATTTCCTTTTTTTATGGATATAATACCTTCAGGATTCCCTACAAAAATATCACATAAATCCCATACCCAGCAAATCAAGATAAGACTACATCCATTATTACCCCTCATCTCCTTAAATACAGGATGCCACTGCTTGTCAAAAACAAAAGAAAACTATTACTGATTGAGGTGAATGCCATTTTTATCTGCAAGAAAAATTATCTCAACATAAAAGGTGCACTTAGATTGGTTTCCACACATGGCCGAGCCTTTCAATAATACATATATTAAATCTGTCAAACCACCCTACACTGCAACTATTTTCCCAATATCTCCACAATCTCACTCAACATATGCTTCACTATTTAATATTGAAGAGGAAAGCTCTTTTCTTTCATCGAAATTCTGCCCATTCTTTTGATGACATTCACCCTATATTTCTCCTAGACATCACTTGCCCCTTCAATATGCTCACAAACCCCCATTCTTATTAAAATAACAAATCTTTGCAATAAAATTTTAAAAGGTAAAGTGCCTAACTAGCTTTCTCAGAATTCTATCCTAAGTTACTCTTCTTTCCCTAGTTTCACAAAAATTTTTATTCTTGTTATCATCTTTTCACTCTGCTATTTTAATTTATAAAATTCTTCCATTGAGGGCGTACAACAGGAAGATCGTCTTGCTTTTTTATTTTTCTGTTCATATCAACGAAATCGTTCACCAACTCGACGTGTTTTATTTTGCATGCCTAGTATATTGATAACCTTGGGTTTCCAATTACGAAGTCAATAAAGCGGTGAATTTAATCAATGAGACTGTGATAGTTATCGGACTCTCTATGAACCCCAAGAAATCCAAATCCATTTCTATCAAATCAATTGTACCAAATTCGCAAAACTTCAAACTGGCCACCCTTGAGGAACAAAATTATTTAGGCGCTCCTGTACATAGCAATATCTTCCTGTATATTCCATGAGACACTTTTTGAGTTGGCTGATTTATTTTCCATTTTCCCCTCTGATAAAGCCCTTTTCCTCTTGAAAAATTTGTCAATTATTTTATCCTATAAGACCTTCAATTAATTCCCATTTTTAAATGTCCCACGCCTCTCTGTGTTTAATAAAAATTGGGATTAAAATCCTAATTTTAATTATTTTAAACCTTAAATTTGATGAAATCACGTTAAGCCTCTTTGCCAACTAAGATGGAATGACTTGGTATCAGTTCTCCTTTCGATCTTGCCCTAACTGCCTTCATATCCATTTGTCATATAACAACATTATAGATTACCATTTGATAAAACCTGACTCTTTCTATAATGGTACTTTTAGGAAATAACGAATTATCGCTGATCACCCAATTCCAGAAACGTATAAGGAGAAGAACCTAGATGGGACTAATTGCAAGTTGCTTTGAATAACTCCTTTCCGGAATGCTAATGACCGTCCTATATTCTTTTTGCTATTTAATGGATCTGGCCATGAGTTCCTTGAAGTCATTCCCTCTGTTAATATACAATTACAACTCCAAAATGAGCTTACACGCGGTATTGGGATTCCCTACCTAATAACCCAAACCGACACTTGCTCAGTTTGCAGTTCTGCCGTTTTCAGTAATGAAAGACATATCTTCAGTTGTCGTTTTTATATAGGTCAAATCGTTAGACATAATTTATTCAATTCAATTATTCTTAGAGTTTTGAGATCAGCCCAAATTTCCTGTATTTTTTAACCTTCTGGTCTTTTCAAATCTGATGGGAAGCTTTCTCATGGGATTTCTCAAATTCCTTGGAAGCGTGGTCAACATGTAAGAATACTCGTGTATTGATCCTTTGACTTCATCCAATCAAACACTTAAATTCTGGAGAATATGGAGTTAGTTAAAACAGCAAAATATTCTTAAGTATCACAAGAATACATATTCATTCTCATTTTTTCCACAACCTCAACATCAAGGAACTTGGTTCGCACATTCGTAAACTTACGGATGAACCTCTAAAAGGCTTTTTCTTAAGACATAGGCTGGCCATAGCGATTAACAAGGCTAATTGCGTTAGCTTCATGGGCAGTCTCATCCCATAAGATTATTAGTTTTAACATCATATTTTTTTGTGCGCGTTGTTTTCTTCTTTCTTTTTTTAAAATTTTTTTAATATTATACCCAATGACATATAATAATACCTAGACTGACGATTCATTCATTAAAATGCATTTTTAAGCGTCGTCAAAAGCAAATCAGCTCGACCCGCCATTTTGGTAACCTTTATAATATTTATTTTCATGTTAAAAACTACTATTAAATTAATAACTTGCTTCCTTATTATCTCGATGATCAGGCAATTCTTTTGCATCATATATAGGAGTAAATTAGGCTCTGGTTTAATATTTTAATATTAATTACGGTAATAAAGATGGCGTCCTTAGCTAATTTGTATTGTTGTACACTATTAATGAATAAATCATCAGTCTAGGTATTATTATATGTCATTGATTATACCAATAAATAAGATATTATATTATATAATTTATAAATAATCTTAAATTTAATATCAAATTTATGAAAATAATTAATATAATATGTTTATATCTTACATAAAAGATTATTACATTGACAATATTTTTGTAATCACTTTAATTTTTTTTAAAAAAATTAATGTTTATTAAATGATACTTTATTTAATTGTAAATGTTGAACATGGATTATTATTTTATTTTAATGGTTATTATATAGCGCAAATTTTTTTATGTTACATTCATTTAACACCATTTTTATTAACTTAACTTAATAGTTTCATTTAACTTAACTTGATAGTTTCATTTAAATTAACTTAATTTTATTTAATTATTTAATAGTTTTACTTATATATATAAAGGATATAATTATTATAGTTTTGGAGTTAAATTAATTTAGATCAAATGGATAAATCAACAACAAGGTCAATTGTTAAACGAGATATCAAACTAGACGAACTTATTGGCTATAATGACTGACAAAATATTCTAAATCCATATAATATAATTTTAGCTACTGGTACATAATCATGATGAATAATTTCTGATTTCATTCTAAAAAAACATGTAAGAAATAGTTAATTTGAAAAAGTAAAAAAAAATTTATTAAAATTTTAATTTTAAAATTTCTAAAATATTATGATATTATCTTTTCTGAAGCATAGAGGCCATGCAGCCTTAGACTGAGAATTTTTTTAAAGATAGTAAGAGTAGTTCTGAGGCTATGCTATTAACCGTTAATTTACCAGATAATATCTTTAACTTAATTAGAGCTATGTTGACAAATGAGGAGTTTGAATCTCCAGACGCTTTGCTAAAAAGGCTAATATGAATATATATAATTAATGACATAAATCTTATAGATAAAAATATTGATAAACATATAATTAATACTTATAAATTAAAGGAAATTTTTGTTGACATAATATCATTTGAAATAATTTTAGTATCTAAATATAAAAATGATGAAAATATAAATATACCCATACATGGTGAAATATTAAAAGAGTATTATGACTGTAAAAATATGATATAAATCTTAGTATTGAAAAAATTAATGAAAATGAAATAGATGAAATTCCCATACACAGAAATTTAAAAGAAATAGAATCCAAATCATTAAAGTTTGACACTTATAAATATAAAAAATCAAGAGAATAGACAATACAAATAAACATTTACCTTATATAATTAATAAAAAAGTGGGCGAATTTTACAAATTTAAAATTTTAAAGACAATGAAATATAAATTATGTTTAAAGGACAAAACATGTATAAGTAATAATGACTACTTTAAAACATTATTTTTATTGAAGATAAAAGATACAGTAATTTTGAGTTATTATTTGCTTTAAAAAATAAGGGAGTAAAATTTGAAAAATAAAAATAATTGAAATATTATATTAATAAAAAAAAATATTATATAAAACGCTAAAATTCAAAATATTCAATAATTCTATATCCCAAATGATGATTCTTATTCCATAAATGATTCCTCTAAATTATTTTTATCCCATTATTTTTATTATTCCGAAATTATTTCATTCGAGATAAATTAATCATGATTATTATATAAAGATAAATAGTTACAAATGATAATAAACAACGAGATGATGGTCAAGCAAACGATTAGACAATCATAACAAGCTGCAAATAAGCCAAAATAATGAAGAAACCAAATAACTACTGAACCAAACAAACAACACATCACTATCGATTATTTTTTGCAAAATCACGGATACTTCATAATTTACCAGATGACAATTTAAATATAAACAAAGAATTAGCCGAAACTGACATCGAAACATACATAAGATTGTTATCAAAGAATATACACACTCTGATCTAAAACATTTGGAGTGAGCAAGACAAAATAAGATGCCACATTTTAATATAAAACTATGGATTTTATGATCAAAATCGATAAGAAACTCCTTGAACACAAAAGGTTTACATTTAAAGAGAACATAGGCGGGGTTCCTGTAGAGGGTGGAATGTTGAACATAAATTATTATTTTATTATAATGGTTATTTTATAGCGCAAATTTTTATATGTTACATTCATCTAACACCATTTATATTAACTTAACTTAATAGTTTCATTTAACTTAACTTGATAGTTTCATTTAACTTAACTTGATAGTTTCATTTAACTTAACTTAATAGATTCATTTAATTATTTAAGTTTTACTTATATATATAAAGGATAAAATTATTATAGTTTTTTTAGTTAAATTGTAGTTAAATATTTTTAAAATATATTTATTTAATAGAAGTTTTAAATCTATTTGTCTTATCTTCCTTACTCCTTGCCAACCTTAACGGTAAATATAAGGATTAAAAAATAAATTAATAAAACCACATCCTCTATCATATACATGACTCAAAAGGTTTATAGCAAGATTGTCTACACTTTATAAGATAGGTATTTCAAACATTAATAGAATATATTTCCGGTTAAAAATCCGAATTTTAAATTTTTTAACAAAACGCGTTCAAAAAAAAATTAATTAAAGTTGTAAATATAACACATTGGCGTTAAAAACGTAACAATAACAAAATTAAATATAATGAAAAAGGAATTGATAACAATAATTTTAAATTAAGTATAGTGGCCATTTTATAAATGGAAAACCTTTCAATTTTCTTCACTTTTCAAAAGCGTAAAAATTTTTTATATAAATTATTTACATTATTGAGGAAAATCAAAAATGGCCTAATCAGCTGATTTGTATTTTTTTTCGCGTTTATAATAAACGAATTTGAGGATATGTCCCGAAACCGATTTTGACAAAATTTGAACCAATTAAAATATTTAATTTTTTTTTGAATGGGGGACTATATAGAATTTTTTACGAAAGAGAAATCAAAGGGAAAACAATATATATGTCCATATCCATTTTTTGTATTTTCGAACATCCATAAAAATGCTCAGTTCAGTGCCATCACCCATTTTGATTACGCCATATAATTCCCACTTATTGCCTTTTTGGCACATGAACGGACCGCCTGAATCACCCTTAAAAATAATTGTTAGTTTTTAACAATTAAATTACATGTTTTGGTTAATAAGTAAAGGAAATAATAAAATGCACAGGGGAAAAGGGTAAAAAAAAATGAAAATAAAATGGTAAAGGAAGGAAAAAGAAAGAAAGAAAGTTAGAAAGAAAGAAAGAAAGAAAGAAAGAAAGAAAGAAAGAAAGAAAGAAAGAAAGAAAGAAAGAAAGAAAGATAGAAAGAAAGAAAGAAAGAAAGAAAGAAAGAAAGAAAGAAAGATAGTTTAATTAAGTTAATATTATTTATAATTTTTTTATAACTCTATTGGTTCCTTTTATCAAAGGACTCCTTTTTATAGCGCAGAATTGTTTGGAACTTAGTTTTATTTTTCTTGATTTCGCGTAAATGTTCTTATTACATTCCTTGTACGACATGTACTTCAATTTAAATTCTTGTAATTCGTTGGGTATGGAGTTTTTATTGACAACTAACAAGATTTTGATCCCCCAAAATATATAAATACAAAATATTGAATTATCATCAGGGCAAATATTTATTTAGATATTGCCAACAAAGAGATTACCAAGCCTATCATAAGACAGTGTAATATTAACCATATTGGCAGAGTTGTTAAAGTATCTAGATAACCTTATACACGATGTATCTGTATCTAGATTTCATTTAAAAAAGTATCTAAGAATCCAAAATAATATTTTAAAAACCAATTTATAAGTTAATCCCAGGTCAAATTAGAAAATCAGAATATACAACGGATTATGAATTTTCTTGGTAAAATAAATCTGCAATATATCTAAGCTAGTAGTGTTGTTAAACGGTAACTCAATATTTAATCTAGAAAAATGTTAGTCAAGCCTGAAGATTTTGCTCGTAAAAGAAATAAAAGTCCAGACATTATATTATCGAAATCTTGAGGATTATGCAATATTTTTTTGGCTAAAATATTGAGTTAGCCGTTTAAAAAAATCGGCTCAAAATTAGCAGTTTAACAACACGTATAAAAGTGTTATTGATCTGACTCCCAAAATGAGCTGAGTTGAGAGCGCTAAAGAAACTGCTATGCATTTTGAAATTAAATTATATATATAGAAAAATTGGGATCACAAAATACATAATTTTTTTTGTTTAATTTTGATTTAAAAGTTTTATGTATCAGAAAACGTATTTAATTTTATAACTATTGAGTTCATCAGCTGTGAGCCTATTTTTTTTTAAAAAAATGACATTTTATATAAGTTTAGGTTTCGCATTAATTTAAAATCTTATACTAAAATTTTGGAATTATACAAATTATTGTATGACGCGAAATCTTGAAAGAATTTTTATAAGTGTAAACCACCATATTTTTTCAACCACAATATCTAGTGCAATTTATTGACCTAGACATACAAATAATTATATATAATTATTATTATTAACTAATTAACCTTATTGCGCTTTATAGCGGCTGTTAAGACACTGATCTGTTTATTAAAGTTAAAAGAATTTACTTATTGAGTTTTTAGTGGACAAGGTTCTAAATAATTTTATTTCAAAATATATTATGTATTTCAAAACATTACAAGATGTGAGACCCCAGCCGGCCGTTATACAAGTTTCCACAATCTCGTCTATTCGTGAAGAGCGAGAAGCCAAAGGCAATACTTGAATCCTACCAAAAATTTTAGGCAGATTATTAGTTAGTTTCAATAGGGCGAGGTCGTGATCGGACTCTTCAGCCATGCTAGCATTGTAGCCCTTGTGCCGAATAATTTTTTTGACAGATGAATTATAAGCAAGGTTTAATGCCGTGATATCGTTAATCCCCGTGTATACTTTAATGTTGTTCGGTTTGCTATTATATAAAATATATTAACCACTAAACTTAGAATTATATACCAAAATTTTAGCCCAACCCTATATGTTCCCTCATAAAATTAATATGATTCAACACGGTATTTATTAAAATTTTTATTAATTCATGTATAGAATAATATAAAATAATTTTTAATTTAAAATGGATGCTCTATTGGGTGGCTTCAAATTCATATTATTCAGACATAGTAATTAACCTTGTATAATTTTCATTACCATCCTTGTTCTTCTAAGAACTAACTTCGCATTGCCATAGTGTATTATCGCATGGGTGTATATTATTCATTAAGGGCCTCCAAAATTAGGTTATTATCCAATATTTTATTTTGTTAGGCATTAACAAATTATCCGTTATAAAATTGTTATAATCGGAATGAGGGATTCGTTTTTTAATCCAAATTTAGTGGGTAAGGATTCAAGCATGATCTTCAAGATGTCACATCAAAATAAAATTATGAATTAGAAATAAAAATATATCATAATGAAAGATATAAACTAAGAATTATATATTTATTAAAAAAATTTAAAAAAAAGTATTAATTACAATTATTCAAAAAATGGTGTGTAAAGCGCGATGCGATTTTTGATAAACGCTCTCCAGAATATAAAAAATAAAATTAACTCCTTCACACATATCAAAATATTTTCATATTGAAATTTCAACAGCCATCTTCGTTTCAAAATGTCCTTTTTTTCATAATGTCAATGTATGCATTGCAAGAAATTATTTCTATCTTTAAAACATGTATTTAAAATACATTCAAGTTGTTTATTCAAGCTATAGATAAACAGTGAATTTGAAAGGGAATAAAAATATGGTAATCGAAAGATTAGAAAAAAATAATGAATATTTATATATTTTTATCTAAATTTATATTGAGTAATAGTATTTTATAGATAAGTTTTTAATATGATTTTTTTATAAAAATTATAAATGATTCAAAGATTAATGGCAAATTGTCTATAATGGATAAGATATATATTTCTAAACATGTTATATCCCATTACACATAGCCGTTAACATATATAAATATTATTTTAATATATATTTATTTAAATTATATGCCCATATTAAATAAAATGAATTTTGCATTTAAATATTTTTATTTTAATTATAAAAAAAAGAGTTAATTAAAAGTATATTTCAAAATGTATTTTTTAAAAGTATCTAAAACAGATGCAGATAACTCTAATAGTATCAAGATATAGATACAAGTTCTTATTAAATAAGTGTTTATTAAAAATTAAAATTTTAAAACTTATCATCCTTTGGGACAAGAATCCCCATGACATATAATAATAACTAGATGACGATGCATTCATTAAAATTTACAACAATAAAAAACAGCTGGGAACGCCATTTTGTTTACCCATTCTTTTTAAAATATCATCAATCTGGTTCTGGATCACAAAATTAGGATAATAATTTGTTATTATTGATTTTAAAAAATTGTAAAATATAAGTTGTCTTTATTGCTATATGGAATACCAAAATGGCGGGTCCAGCTGATTTGCATTCAGCGACGCTTTGCATTAATATCCCATGCTCATATTATCTTTCCCTTCCAAGATTTTAAGTGAGGCAGCAACATGCATAACCTAAAAATTAAAATGGTAAAATATAATATAAAATTATTTGTTAATTAAAAATTATGCTCCTCCACATTAAAATACTGTATTCTTATTTGATCCAATTTTCCATTTTTTTCTCATTTATGTAAAAAAGCTAAAAGTTTCATAGCATTGTAAACACTATTCTATCTTGTAGTGTTTGGTGTCAATATATAACGTCCTCGTTTTTTTTTGAAAATATCAGACATCTTTCTATTTACTTTGTTTATTCCAAAGAGCATGGCATTTAGAAAATGTAGATCTTGATACACTTTTAAAATTCTTATATAATAAAGCCTCTTCAGCATCCACTGTCGCAAATGAAATTAAGTTGTGGCAGGAACAACGATGGTGAAGGTAACATAAAAGAATTTATTGAAGATCCTATAATATTATAAATTTTATTTTATATTGTTAAAAATTAAATATAGATTCTTTCATTTCTTTAAAGCTATCCATAATTGAATCAATGTCTGCCTACAAAAAATCTTGGTACGTGGAGAAAATTGGTTTATCATCTTTGGATAATGGTTGAAGTGTATCTATTATAAAGTTCATTATAACTTTGTCAGCCAATTTTGAGATACATCAGGTGTTGATGAATCCAAATTGCTTAATTCTGTTTTAATTAAATTTGATTTGGAAGTGGATGTATCCCCATGAGATATTTTTCAATCTCTTCTGTCTAAAATTATAACAGTAATACTTAGAATAAAAATTATGTAGGAGATTAGTACATAATAATGATTGAAATAACTATTTTAAAATGTTTTAAATAATAAAGATAAAATTTATGAAGATTGGTCTTTGATTTAAATTTATTTTGAAAATTAAGGATTAGCTTATACATTGATATTAAATTTGTTTAACATATTACTTTTAAATGTTTATTCAAATTAAAGCTGTTTGTATGATTTAAGGATAAAATTTTGCGACACATCTTACATCGAAACAGACATCGAATAGTAAATTTTTCTTCAAAATTAAAGTATTTTTTGAATTTTGGTAAAGGATAATCTATATTTTTCTCATTTTTTAAAGAAATTTCTAGATTTATAATGCTAACTAAGTTTATTATGTATATTTTTAATTATAAATTTTAATTTCAAAATAAAATTAAATTAAATAAAAGGATTATAATTTTAGATTTAATAAAAAATATATTTTAATAAATTTTAGATGTATTTATTATGTAAAATTGAAAATAGCGAAGTAATTAGTAACAAGCTACCGCTATTGCTATTTTTTAAAAAAAGTAGCCCGCTAAAGCAACCGCTACTGAAAAAAGTAGCTGCTATTTTAACAACACTTTTATGAATGATAATCAGTTCTCATTTAATAAAATGCTGAACCTAATAAACAATTTAAAATATTAAATTAAAAATAAACTAAAAAATGCAAATTAAACTATTTAGAACGGCCAATAATAAAAAAATTCTTAATTTTTTTATCTAAAGGCTAACGTACTTAAAAACAGCATTATACAATAAAAAATTCTTAATTTTTTTAACTAAAGGCTAACGTACTTAAAAACAATACAATAAAAAATTCTTAATTTAACTAGAGGCTAACGTACCTAAAAACAACAACATACAATAAAAAATTCTTAATTTTTTTAACTAAAGGCAAATGAACTTAAAAACATTAATCAATGTACAATAAAAAATATATTATATTTTGGTTTAAATTTTTAATTTAAATAATAATGAAATGAAATAGATAATATTTTTATCAAAATTATGAGGAGTTTTCCTTAAATCAAAACTTTCCCATTGAGTTCATTTTATGGTGAACTGAACACCTTGTTAATTTGGACAAAAAAAAACAAAGTTAAAAGATATAGGGGGTAGTGCTGTTAAATTGTCTAATTTTGACTATCTCTATTGTGGCTTAATCAAGATTTTAGCCTAAAAAATTAAATTAAGCCTCTAAGTTGAGTCTATATTTGAAGATTGATTTGAATATTTTTAAAATAAAAACATGGCTAAGTTGTTTTATAGTTGTCTAAAGTTAGGTAATTTAACAACACTATATGGAGGGTTCATGGGTATAAAAAATATTCTGATAAATAAATATACAACAAAAACGCCCTTATATAATATATTTTTCTTATGTTATATAAGCTAAAAATGGGGTATTTTTTTAAAATGTATATTGGTTTATGGGATATAAAGATATTGTTTTTTCTTTATTACAAAAATTTGTAATAATTCAGACCCTAATTCTCAAAAGGCGTTCGAGTTCTGGGTTTGGAATATTAAGAAATTTCTTTCTTTGGTTGGTTTTACTTTTTTTTTCTGCCTGGATTACCTTTTGCTATATAATTTTCTTTTTAAATTAATTATATTTTGCTAATTTGAGCTTCATTTTGATAATTTTGATTTATATTTTCCATTTGCTTTGGACGTAAATAAATTGTTTTGTTTAAAGAGACACGACGCCCGACGATTCATATAGCCCCGGGAGAGGGGGGTCTACTAAATAGTCACCACGGCTCTGTGCAATAAATTATTGAAACTGTACTAAAATGATTCATAATTCGTATTACAAGAGGGAATTAGGTTTCTAAATATAAAATTAGTCATATTAAAAATATTGTTGCACACAGATAATAATGTGTATAAATGAATTAAAACTAAATGTGTAAGAGTGAAAAAAAAACCTTTTTTCGTGAAAAAAACAAAAAAAATAAAAAAACAACTAAAAATCAAACGTTGCTTAAAATATTTCATTACAAATTTTTTAAAAACAAAATTAATAAACAATTAAGCTTTCATGAATATAATTTCATTTTAATATAATTTAGTCGTATTTAATTTTTCCAATAAGATGGTAAGGAGTCGGTGCATGTTTATGATGTTGATTAAGAGTATAAAATATCAACATTTGAACATTTATCATTCTAACAATGGGTTTATATTATGATACTTTAAGCTTAGCTGCTACTTAAAGAATAAATGTGTTTCTTTTATCCCGGACCGGTAACCCGGATCGTATTAAATTCCGTGAGGGGGCCAAGCTAGTATGCAACAAAAAACCGATTTGAGTCGATTTTTAAAAAAACGGCCCAATTAAAATCTTTAACAAAAAAAAGTAAGTAACTTTCCTTCCTTCATTCCTTCCTTCCTTCCAGAGATTTCGCTTTGGATGGTAGAATAGTTTGGAACTTTCATTTGCAAAATCTTAAGGCATAATATTATATTTGGCTTAAATTTTTCTTATTTTTAGAATGAATAAAATCATAATTTAGGGC